CGTGGACAGGAATTGGATGCCAGCTCAGTGTTTGGAGGTGCTGTTTTATGTGTAGCAGCTCCCCACCACCACTCGTCTAATCTCTATTACATATCTACAGACAAAACAGCTACTTGGCATTGCGTTGCGGATGTCTGCAACTTTTGCCAGGACGTTGAACAGAGGCCAGGAACTTGGGTGGAGACAGGAGCCAGAAGGTCATCTGGGGTTGCTGCTCTTTGTTAGAGCTAAATAACGTTGTGAATGTATTAAGCCCCTTTCCATGCACTGATTTTATTTTTTTTTTCAATGCCTTCAGTACATTTTTTTTTTCTTTTTCTGGGCTGGATTCATGTACAAATATGCAAAGCAGAACAGTCTGCTCATTTGTACTTAGCATGAAATCCTGATTTTATTTATTTATTTATTTATTTATTTATTCAGGAAAACGAACTGAAATACTGTAACAGCCTGCTCCGTGAGAACAAGACCTCGGGTTCTTTGTCACTTCCTCTCTTTCAGCCACTGATCAGATGCTCATCTTCAGAAAACTATCCAACGATTGATTTCATTATTGTCCCCTAAGAGAAGCAGTTTAAAAAAAAAAAAAAAAATGGAAGTGGGCTGAAGCAAATTGTGGCATCTGGAATTGCAAATCTGCTGCTGGATCCTGTGGTGCTGCTGAGCAGTAGTCCTCGTCGTGCTGCCAGAGTCAGCTGGGACTGAAAAATCGCATGAGTGAGATCTGCATTTAATACAGCTGATGTTTTTATATGAGGACAGTGGCTGTATGGATGCGTCTACCTGTAAGATGACCAAGTTTATGCATACATTATTAAGCCTTTAGTGTGGGTCTCCTTCATCAAAGAGGCTGCTGATGAAAGGAACAGTCCAAGTGACTGTTCTCTTCTTAAACTACAGCAAATATAGTTATGACTATAGTTATAACTATAGTTATAGACTTACATAGGGACGGTAAATAATGTGGCCTCAAGACAATCATGTTACAGTTTTCGTTTTGACACCATGGTAACTGCATATCTGGGTGAACACATGGAGTTCAGGGATTCATGGCAAAACCTCTACACTTGTTAGACTGACAATGCTGTGGCTATAGACAAGTGCCTTCCTCCTTATTTATTTATTATTATTTTTTGGATATTCTCATTAAAGTCGACTCATCCCTGGCTCTACTGCTCGGGGTGTGACAGTTGCGGAAGGAGTGTTGTTGCAGTTTACAGGGTGGCTTTTTGGTGCAAAGTCCCTCTTGCAGGAAGAGCTTCTCATCACTTTGCTTAACAAAAGGCAATGGGTGTGTTATGTGTCACCCAGCTGCTGATCTGGTTCATCCCTGGAATAGGATTGTTTTGTGTCGACTAAAAACATACTTGCATGTAAGATGCAAATACCCATGCATCTCTATATATTTATATACAGATATATGGATGCATGAACACAATAATCATAATAAAGAATCAATTAAATAATACATATATGTTTTTATACATATGTGCTTTTCCATGGAATCTTGCCAGATGATAGGTATAGTAACATGAAATATTTTCATGGCTTTGTTTATCCAGACTGGCACTGTTTTCCAGAGATATTATCTAATTCTAGCATCTGAAAGACTCTTAGAGTAAGATTTCATAGTAACCACAAATAACAAAGGGAGGAAGATTGTCGAAAGGTAAGAAGGCTGATCTTGATTTGCAGCAGGCAAGCTAACAATTCCCTGCAGTCTCTCAGTCCTACATCCAAGCTTCTTTATGCTGCTTCGCTGTTTGGTATGGCTTTTTTTTTTTTTCTTTTAAAAGGACAAGACAAATTGTCTAGCCACAAGAATTCAAGCAATGCTTTTAATCTCAGCAAAGAAATACGCTGTACTGCTTGGCTGCCTTTAAAGTCAAATATTGCAATATTTCAGCAAAAGGTGTATTGGTAGAAGGGGGAGCTGTAGCTTAACATAGCTGTGCTGTAAAGCCTATTTAGCTCTACAGCACGTCATTTGCAGCCCAGAAGCCCCCCTTGCCATCAGAGACAGGGTGAGGAACACCGCTTCTTCCCCACCCTTTTGCAGTGACATGGCCCCCACAGCCCCCAGACCCTTCTTGGCCACAGCTGGACAAGCCAGTGTGGCTTGGCATGTCTGCTCCCCATGGGCAGCCTCACAAAAAGGTGCCTGCCACATTTGTGTTTGTAAAGTCTCTGTCTAGCTAATAATGGAGGTGGGTATTTTAATAACCTTCCTATGGTTTAAGAAAAGGATGATTTCACTGTACCTGTGCTACTCGGGGACCCAGTCCATCCCTGTGCCACAACAATCCCATGAGAGCAAAGGCGAGTCACTGTCCTTTTCCATTCATTCCTAGCTCCCCCCTTCCCTCAACAGACCAGAACATGTATCATGTAGTTCCTGACCAGATAAAGAATCCAACATATGGCTTGTAAGGTCAGAAAGGTTGATGATTCCTGGGTATGAACTCGTTACTAATGTGCATTTGGGTGTACTTTGTCTGTGGAAACAGACATGCACACAGATACACACACACATATTGGAATCAAAAGGAACACGTGGTCTCTATTAGTTCATGTAACCAAATGCAGGATGCAGATGATCCAAAACAATAATAACTGTAGTTTTCATATCACAGAGTTCTGAAGAGATTTCATTCATCACATACTTACTGGCATTGCTCCAGCTCCAGGGACATATCTGAGATATGGGTTTAAAAATATCCACAATAAAGCCTTTCTGCTCAGTTTAATGTTATGATTTTGAAGTGTAAAATTGCTTGACTAAAACCAGATCAAGTGCAATGAATCACCTGGATTCTATGAGTTTCCCTTTTCCAGTGGGATCATGAGAGTGTTCCTCCCCTTTCTTCAAGCCAAGGACCACACAACCTTTTAGGAAAAAGAATCTCAGGCCAATTACATTAATTTTACATTACATTAAATTACATTTTATTTTTGAAAATGCTAATGGTAGGTGGATGATCTTCTGAAGTTTCATGGACCACTAGAGGTCCCCAGACGGTGCCAAAAAACACTCACACAGCTCACTCCTCTCTCCTTGCGAGTTTATCTTGGCCCATCAGCGCTGCAGGACAAACTACTGTCTTTGGTCTCTTGCCAGTGTAATTGCAAGGAAGAAATGTCACGTTTGTACAAAGTTGGGGAAAATATTTATTTAGCAGGTGCATATGTGTTGTTTTTATCTGCCGATGGCTGGAGCAGCTCAGCACTCTGGAATGTACGCTGTATTTATGGAGGGGATTAATGGGCAGAGTGAAGGTTATTATCCTATAAACACAGCTGATCACATGCATCTGCCACTTCTCAGCGCCTCCTTATAAGAGAAAGGATGGGTTGGGAAAAGATCATCTGAAAGAGGGGCCTAGCATGAGGCCTTTAAATCCATATTTAGTTACTGAGCTGATTTTTTCAGAAGTGCTGCTCCTATAGTTCAGTAGGAGTCATTGTAATAAATATCTGTGTGTATGCATGCCATGTACCATAAATCACTTCATCTGCTATTGAAGTGCGACCACTTCTGGGCAAAAACACGGCAGATGTTTAATACGTCATGTCACAGCAGCTCTCCATAGCAGATTTCAGCGGGACAGAAAGAATGCCATGAAGCTGCAAGAAGGATTTAGTTAGGCGAGACATAATTACCAAAGCTGGACTTTGTCCAGGACACTGGGGCAAACCCTCCTGCCTTTGCAAATTTGATTTTAACAACTTTAATTTTAAACACCTGATAGTCATATTTCTTGCCAACGGCATAGACTGCTGAAAGAAAAAGAGGCAGCATTTCCTAAGTAAAAAAAAAATACCAGAAAATTAAGAAAAAAAAAAAGTGTTTCCTCCTATATGGTTTGTGACACCTCTGTGGGAAACCATGAAATACCCAGAGCAGAAACACACCTTCTGGGTTGTAATTCAGTCTAGATTATACTACCCCATAGCTTGTGCCAAAATTTTGTGTGTAGAAGTGATGAACTGTAAAAAGTGGAACTGCACAGAGGGACCAGTGCAGGGAGTCCAGGTCAGAGCAATGTAGAAACAAAACATGAGGAACCTGCTTGCAAAGAAGATGAATAAATGTCTTTTGCTGTTAAGATGTGTAAATACGTTAGCTTTTATTGATGACACTGCAAATATCCACAGCTGACAACTGAATGTTTCAACACACCAACTTGTTTATGTGGAATTAAATTGAATCTACAGCATTACAGCAAAGCAAACTTAGGAAAATTAATATCTGAGAGCAAGCAACTCGTGTAACACAGACTCTCTGAATCTCCAGAGGAACTTTGTTGACCTAGGCTACCCACTAGATTTGCCAAGTGAACAGAAAAAATCATCTCCCGCAGCAGTTCACAAGCTTTGGAGTAAGTCAGTTCTGATCCTGCTACAGTGCAGGGGGCTGGACTAGGTGATTTCCTAGGTTCCGTTCCTGCTAAACATTTCTGTGACATTAAGGCCCATCTCCAGAGCTTATTAACATGGATCCAAAAGACAACAGTGGAATAATAAAGCATCTAATGCAGTAAATTCTCCAGGAAACCAATGCTATCCTACAAAAGGATACCTATCGACAGTTTGCAATGGAGTTGCTTTAAGTAGAAGAAAGCTGTACTTGCATCATCCTGAAGAAGATTGAAAGCATGCAGAGGATCTCTTTTCCTGGCTACCTTGCCCAAGTGAAACAACCTTCTCCTGCTGAAAGGAATCTAATGAAATGATCCATATATGAGAGATTATTTCTGTGTTTGTACAAAACAGAAAACAAGTGTAAGGGCTGTTCTGGGACTTGCTCTGTCCCATTTTCAGCCAAGGTTGTGTTGTATCTGGGACACATTTATTTTATCTGGAAAAAAATCTGAACTATGTATTTCTCAAATGCATATAGAATCATAGAATCACTGAATGGTTTGGGTTGGAAGGGACCTTAAAGACCACCCAGTTCCACCCCCCCTGCCACGGGCAGGGACACCTCCCACCAGACCAGGTTGCTCCAAGCCTCATCCAGCCTGGCCTTGAACACCTCCAGGGATGGGGCACCCACAGCTTCTCTGGGCAGCCTGTGCCAGGGCCTCACCACCCTCTGAGTGAAGAATTTCCTTCTAAATATGCTGGTCACACCACAGTATCAGCTAGGTCGTGGCTGTTGAGTACTTCATGGCCCTGAGTCACACATGCAGTTCATATTGGTAAGACAGGAAGGAGGGGGGCTCAGGTAGATGTGCTTGTACCCCTTTATTAGTATGTGGAGGTTACAGTGTGTCACGGATTCCTGATGCGGTCTCCCTTCTGCTGTGCAGTCCTTACACAGCTGCATAAGACCTTAAAACAGTGCTGCTACTATTTCCTTAATGCCTTGATTCTTTGATTTCTGAGTGCATCCCAATGCCTCTCATCATGAGAGAGTGCTGCTTTAGGATTTGATAGATAGCCATACGCCCATACAGCCAGTCCAACTCTAAGGTCACCAGCTTTGGTGGTCAGAATTAGACTTGGTATGTTCAATGCCTTGTTCAGCCACAGTGAAGCAGACCAAAGCTTTAGTGCGCTGCCTTTTCAATCAGGCCTGCTGCCTCATTTAAAGAATGGGAATGTGCTAGACCTCCATAATATAAAAACCAAAATAGTCTTTTACACCTACATACTGATGTATCCCTCTGTGTATAATGTTTAATGAGAAAGTACAATTAACGAGATGAACAAAAGAATGACATATTCCATGTTTCACGGTTTCTTTGTCAGCATGTTAATGAAATAAAGATAGACATGCTTTATCTACACTATTGATGAAGCTCAGTCTCTAATCAGAGGTTTGTTGTTATTTTTGGCTGTCATACACACACACACAAAAGTAGAAACCATTTAAAAAATCTTTTAAAACCTCTGCATGTAGAAAGGAGGCAATGTCTTTACATAGTTAGCTGCTTGTCAGTTTAAAGTAACTAAAAGAACCAGTGCAAAACATCTAAGCCTCATTTTCCTCTGGCAGAAACCAAGGTGTTTCCACCATGGATTAGTGGAACTATAATAGTGTACACCAGGGGGGATTAGGCCCTGTGGTTCAAGTATAAGAACTTCCAATTGCAAACACTGGTATGGAAACATTTCCCCTGTCTCTCTCTGTTGTGTTACTGTGCACTTCTAATATCTTGTCATTTCAAAGAACATTAGCATTATGTATTCAGCAACTAGAAAGACATCAACTTGTCTCCCTGGCAAAAAAACTCTTTTCTAGCCAAGCACTGAATTCACAGTCACAGCTAACTGAGATGCTATAAACACAGACAGGCTTCATTTTCAAACAGGGTCTCTACTTTCGAGTGCAAATATATTTATTCCACTATGTATATTCCAATATATATATATATTCCACTCAGGGCCAATATCTGCTCATTATCCAAAAAATGTGTTGCTGATAACTTCAACAACTGTTTTACGAATTCCTAGGACATTATGGGTCCTGGTCCTGGTCCTTTTGATGCAGATATTTCCCCTTAAATGTACACTTTAGCAGTGAGCTATTATGGAATTGATGGGAAAAAATATTCTTTCTTGTTTCTCTGGGACAGCAGTGCATCAACAGTCATTATTTAATAAAGAGATGTATCCTTTTTCCCCTTGGAAGAAAAAGACTCCACTTACTTCACTATAACCTTGTGCACGGCAGACTTACAAGCTTTCATGCACAGCTCATGTCAACCTGGTCAGAAGTAATTCTGCAGGTAACCTTGCTACAAAACAAAAAGGTGCACAGTGTCATCAGTCTGATTTAAAATCAAAAACACACAGAGAAAGAGTTGTGCAATTTTTCTGAATTAGTGAAAATCATCAAACTTTAGAAATATAGCTTAACCTGTTCTAATTACAAGCAAAGTTTAAAAATAAAAACAAACATACAAAAAACTCAATCACATGCCTTTATGCCACATCTCAGTGTGGTGAGAAGCTTGTAATAGAATGGACTGGCCACAAACACACCGAATGCACTACCAGCAGCAGTTGCCAGGCTGACCCTTACCCTGCTTCACTTGGGTAAAACTCCCTTTGATATCAGTCAGAGCAACTTTTGTTCCTCACTACATCAAAAACTCAAGAGAGAAAATCTCATCTTGTGACTCTCATGCATGGAGCTGGAAACTGGCTCTGACCACAGTTTGCTGAGAATCTTTATTTCAGCATATGAAAACAAACTAAAATCACTGTTTTCTGCCATTTAGGGTCAAACCAACTATTATTTATGTCTAATCACTGTAGCTCTTAATGGGAAAAAAAAAACAACACACTATACCATCCTGATGCTGCATGTAATGCAGAGCATATTACTTGCTTGCTCCATTTCTTGTGTGCACACCTGACACACATGCACGTGCATGTTAATTTTTACTACCCAAGAAAAACCTTGGTTTGTTTAGATTTGAGATGAAAAGTAGTGTTCCATCATCACATGACATTCTAAAAAAGCTGACATTTACAGAGCTCTTTCCAAATGTGTTCATTAAACACTGCATGCATCTTACAGCCATATGCAACAGTATAATTTACAGTGTATATTTTATAGGTTTCTTTTTCTGTTTTACCCACTGATTATTATGTGCTGTAAAACCTCAATTATCCAAACTAGTCAGGGAAATGAAAAAGGGAAATAAAAAGTAGGTGATGGAAAAGTATATGTTAACAAATGCCATAGAAAAAGTGGTCCATGCAACATCAGGAGGAAGAGAAATTTCAGTGTTATTAATGCCCTTTCTCTCCTTACAAAAACATTATTAGTATGAAAAAAAAGCACCAAGTGGTAACTAAACAGTCTCACCCCTTTGTAGCTTTTTCTTATAAGCAGCAGGCATTTAAAAACACTGTGGACAAATGCACTGCAAATTTTATCTTCATTTTCCCTGTGCAAACTTATAGACCTTGATGGTATAGCACATGTGAAAAAGATGAATTTTTGACCAGATGATAACAGGAAAGCCTTCAAAGATAAAAAAGTATTTCTGGAACTTTCTACCCATAACGAGTTGATCTAACTCATTCAATTCTTCCATGGTGGGAAGAATTATAGGACTAAAATGTCTGCTGATATAAATGGAAACTTTCCCAAGTAATTTCAGCTTTCTCCATTTACATCCCAGAAATAATACATGTTTTTGGCACCCAAGTGATCTTACTTATACTCCAAACAGTTGCAAGCACAAAATTCTATACCTGAAAAAAATCACAGGTGCAGCTAGGAATTATTTTTAGTGTGTCAGACCAGTAAAGTTGAGATGGTGAAATTTAGTAAATCATTGCTGCTTAAAGGAAAAAAGAGAATAGACAACGATATCAACGATAGACAAAGACATAACGATATAAAAAGCCCAAATTGTACAGTGACATTTCTAAGCACAGTATTAAACGTGCACACTTGTTTTAAGTGTCCACCACTTTCTCATATTCAATGATTTTTACTGCATGTTAAACTGCTAGCCTTTGCCAAATTCTGTCATGTCCAAAATTGCTAACCAGTGTTTTTTAAGGCCAATAATTTCTCAGCAAAGTGATTCCAGTTGATTTGTCCTAACCCCATTACAATTTTTTTGTGTTTGTGACTCTTCATTGCTGCTATCATGAATACACATCTGCATGTGATGTTCTGAAGTGTCCACTGCCTGCACAGACAATTTTTGAATGCTGAGGAAACCCAGCAGATGTTTCTAACCTCTCTGGTGCAGGACAATCCTGTGCTTGCTTTCAGAAAGTTGGCTTCTTTGCAGCAGCTTGTGTATTCATCTTGATTTGCTTCTTTGCTGAGTAGTAATCTAGAGAACAATATGTAAACAGACAGAATTACAACTGCAACAGCGATAAAGGCTCCTTCAAAGAAATCTCTCAAATCTAATTTTATTGTTAAAGAAGCCATTTAGACTCCTCTAAGGCTCGTGAATGAACAAAATTAAATACCCTTAGTATGTTCCACATAAAGCTGTGTAATACCAAACAAAACAAAGGAAATGTGCTGGCTTGTATCCAGTAAAGATCAAAAGACTTTCAACCCTATTACGCAAGCTGAACAATGTGACATTTCACTCCAACTTTTAGATCTACTATGGCAGTGCTTTTCAGTCAGAAAGAGTTATTTTTTTTTCACCTTAAAATAACAAAAAATACTCTGTAAAATATCATCAAGAGAAACTATATTTATGGAGCACTTTATTTCTGCTGGTCAAACAGTCAAATGCGAGTTCAGGGAGGACTGCATAAAACTTTACTCTATCACTGAATTATAACTCATTCTTCAATTAGACAGTAAGTGCTGTAGCTTAAGAGAATGCCTTTTACTTTTCCATATATTCATGTGGCTGAATCTTTGCTTCAGGTGTAAATGTAAGTCAACGTGTATTACAGAACTACAATTACAAAAAAGGGTTTATATAAGAATTATTTCCCTGCCTCCCAGTCTTGCACTGAAACATTCTTTTCAGGTAAATAGGGCAAAATGTGCTGAAATAGAAGCTAGATGCTTATTTACATTTAGAGTTAATGGGGTTTACTTTGTGTAAATTATTTGTATTCATACTAATGAAACTATTCCAATTTAAACCAATAGAGGATGTGGGCTTCATGACGTTTAAACTTGAGCTTTCTGTAGAGTCAAATTGGCAGCATGAATTCTTGTATTATTTTTGGTACCAAATATTATTGGCAGGAGGACTGGAATCCAACAGGCTTTCACAGCCAAGCTTGTGCAAGGGGATTCCTGCAGCCAGCTTGCTTAGGGATATATATGTCTGCATGGCACAGTGTGATGGAGCGCAGCAGTACCTGAGCTAGCTCTGAGTCAAGCTTCTGGAGCAGGACTTGGTCTCAAGGAAAGTGTATTCTCCCAGGCAGAAGCACGCACAGCTAACTCTGTAGAAGAGCAAGTCCCTGAATTGCTACAATTCACTGCAGGCTCTCAGCAGAGCAGCAGAGAAAAGGAGTAGCAGCAAGAAACAAAAGCTTACAGTGCAAAATGTAATCCTTATTTCTCCTATTTAAAAGACTTCTATATAGCTATCCTCCATTTTATTCTAGGAAAAGAAATACATTAAGGTTAATGATTAGTAGATGAGAAAATTTAGAAAAGACTTAAATAATAATTATTCCCATTTCTGCCTGTGAAGGATTTCAGCCAGAGCCCAGCTGCTCAGACACTCACATGCCCCACAGCGGAGCCCAGTTTTAGAATTGATGGAAGCACTTAATAGTCAGGGAGATGCAGGTTCCCTAGAGCTGTATTCAGGAGGTTTAGCCTCCACCTAAGACACTAAACAGAGTCTGTGGAAATTGGCTGGTTTGCTTGGAGGACTCTAAAGAGCACTTGCACTGGCATAAGTAATGTACTGAGTAGTGCTACGCTGCCTGCAGCCTGTCAGTCGGAAAACCTGGGCACAGGCACCTAGGAGGGAATGATTTCTGTTGTTTAAATATACTTACCTAAATGACTGCTTTCCTTTCTACCCCATTTTCTCCCATCTACCTTACAGAAAATGGAGTTTTTGAACTATCTGTTTCAGAAGCAAGGCTGCTAGTGAAAACACAGGATTGCTAACAATTTTCTCAACCTTGACCTGTAGCAAAAGAGACTTATGTATGTCTCCCAGAAGAGCCAAGGTCTAAGTGTATCAGGCTGAGACAGGCCAAAAGGTTTGGAAAAGAAGAAAAGTATAAAGTTGGCATGGTTCATCAACCCTGGTTAGTGAAGAGAGAAAAAAAAAATGAGAAAAAGGAAAATGTGAAAAAAACTTAGTGCCTGTAGCTGAGCTGCTTTTTGAACTTGAGGCTTTCCCAGAAAACTGAACAGAACCACACTGGGACCACAATGAAATGGAGAGAATGGAGATGGGGTAGTGTACACAAAAGGGGTGGGAGATAGAAGGGAAAACCTACTTTCATGCTGGTTAGTTCTCTGCATGTCTGAGGAGTCAAACACAGCAAGGAAACCTCTGCTCCTTCCACTCTAGAGGCGCCAACATCCACAAAACCCAATGGCTGGTTTTTAATATATTGATATTTATTTAATGGGCCACAGCTGTCTTTTAAAGTCTAAATTAAATACACATTGTTGGATCTTAATGTAAAGCATTACAGTGTTCTTGTTGACCAGGGGAGAATGCAGATAGCTGTTTTCAGATCAAATCCCAGCCCCCAGTGCTAAACTAATCTTTCATTATGGGATGGCAGAAGTTGAGCAAATGGGCAGAAGCACAGGCTCAGACCATATCAGTAGGTATCGTTTTCCTGGAACACCATGTTTCAGTTTTGAGTTAATTACTTCAGTCGTGCCCAGAGGAAGGAGTTTGCTGCTGCTGGAGCGGAACTTCTAAGCCAATACACAGAGCTGGCAATACTTGGAGCTGGCTCTGTGTATGTGCCTCCGTATGTGCAGGAATGAGAGAGGAACCAGTCTCCAAGCTTCACCAAAAATGACAACTGTGAACGATTTTCCTGGCCCATCTCATAGACCCAGATTCCTTGGGGAGAAGGGTACCGTTGTTAGACTAAAGTGTTTTCTCTTATGAAAACATATGTGGGAAAGTGTTAAACTGTGCAGAGTGGTATTTTGGTTTCCACATCCCCTGTTGAAATGTTTCTTGCCTGGGGAAAACAAAACGGAAGAAAAATATCCCCTGGAAATATCTGCATAATTTACTCCCACACACCTAGTGAGAGATTTACAACTGAACAGCAGTTCCCTCAAACCATCACAACACTATGCTCTGAATTACACTTCTGTACTCTTACCTGTAAATTATACTGTTAATTAGTTAATGGCTGTAAAGTGCTTTGGAGAAGAAAAGAGCACTCATTAAACATCATTGTTCTGTACTCTAGTGTACAATGTTCCACTCTTCATTAATCTTCAACCTCTTCCTGAACCTCTCTCCAGCAATTAAGTTTTATACCCTCAAATAGCAAATTACTCTATTGTCTGATTTACTGAGATCAACATCACTTCTCAGAAAGTGTTTCCTGAAATCTTAACTTCAATTATCTTCTAGGCAATTTCAAGCTGGTGTCTCAAGTGAAATTCTCAAATGAAAATCTTTGGTTTACGTCTTGAAAGTCTCAGTCTTGGATAAACCAAATGCCCCAAAAGGACAAGGGTAAATAATCTATGGGATTAGATTTTTCAACAAGCTCAAATTCCTGTTGAGAAGAGAAAACGAGGGGTCAGATTTTCAGAAGAGCTCAGCATGCAGAATGCTGAGGACTTTTAAGAACCTAAAGCTCTTTTAGGGGTGCTGAAACTCATTCCTTTGTACATCTGGAAGCAAATCCTGGTTTAAAATCCTAGGCCCTTCTGCCACCTGGCCAAGTTTAAGATTGATATGCCCTTAAATATCCTGGATGCCTTCACGAACTATAATATTCAATCTGAAATTAGCAGGAGAGCTGGCTGCTTTCTCCAGTTTTTGGTCTTTCTCCAGAAGGCCTGACTGGGTGAATGGTGTTCCTTATTTCACTTGGGAAAGAGAGCACATGGCTAAACCTATAAGAAACAAACCTCTCATCTGATGGGCAACACTGTTTTCCTGTTGGGTTCCTACTTGAGAAATAACTCCACTGCTTTTCTCACACTGCCTGTCTAACCATTCTAACCATCCTCCCACAAGAAGAGGTCATCATCTTATTGCTCTGACACTGACAAGACTCAAACAGATCTTTGAGGGCCAGGAGGGTGGTTGTGGCACAGCGCCTTTGGAAAACACATCACAACCCCATTGATTTATAGTTTGTTTTCTTTCAGATGCTTTTTTGAAGGGCTGCACTTTCTTTAGGACCGGTGTATGGGCCTGCCAAAGAATTTCTAAACAGCTGCTGGAACTAGGTTTTATCACCTGAGCAATACCAAAGTCTCACACACCTGTTAAAGATGTCTGTCTTCTTTTCTTTCCTTCTGGGATCCTCTTGGCTCCTATTTTCATGGAAGTTTTGGGCTTCTCTGTCAGTGCTATCTGTGCAAAGTGGTGACTGTTGTCTTCCCTGTCCAAGGGCCGGTACAAGTGCTGTAGTGGTCTCCGAGCCTCTCCCACCACACAGCTGTAGAAAGCAGGCACCTTGCGGCCCTCCAGCCCTTCCCACTGCAGTAGCCCCTCCACTGGCCTGTCCTGCAGGAAATCGAAGTTCCACTTCTGCTGAGCCCCCTTTGCACCGTTGTGCAGCATGTGCTGGAAGTCCTGCTGCAGCTGCTTGTGGTCTACAGGGCCAAAGAGGTTCCTCCGAGCACATGTGGTCTTCCCTGGCCTCCGCTCCATCTTTTCTCCTCTGTACTGCTCTCTGGTGAGTATGTACAGCGGTGATTCCCTGCCAAGGACAGAAAGACCATCAGCCACTTTGCATGCTCCGTTTATAGATGCTGCGTGCTCTTTAGAAGGGAATGTGGCAGTAACCTCCGATACTTTTCATTCTGCTACAGGGAACTTTGGAAGAAATTTATCCCAGTCTCCAGCCCAGAGTGAGAATTGCCATCGACTTCTATAGGATGCATCTGTTGCAGCAGCTTTGACAGGGAACAGGTAAGTGTGAAATGCCTTCTTCACCTCTTTTGTGCCTCCTTTATACCAAGTGGGGGTTTGTCCTAAGGGGACAGAGTCACACAAGGAAGTGGAGAACACTTCTTGAGGCAGTGACTGTTATTTTCTTTTGTTATGCTCTGTTTACATTGCCTAACCGTGGGCAGTCTCGTTTTGGGGACTCAGACTGCTGTGAATTGCTGCAGTAGGAATTGCAGCAAAGGACAGAGAGCACTGGGGTGGCACTTAAGTCTAGCAACAGTATTATCTTAAACAAGGGATAGGGAGTGAAAAGGAGGCATTCCAGGACAAAGAAGGGTGATGGAAATCAGAAAAACATAGAACGCATTCTTCTACTGTACTTTTACAGCAAAGGTGGTATTACTTTCCTAACTACTCCAACCGTGTTTTTTTTCAGCATCGATCAAGAATGAAGCTAAGATGATCAGAGCTATCACTTGCTTCTTGCCTGACATTTTCATTCCCCTTTCCTTAAGTAATTGCCTCAGAAATGGTTCCAGTCACAGACACAAAATGGGTCTTGTTTCCTGTAATGGCAAATCCCATTCAAGCACCTGTGGATGGACTTCCCACCAGGAAAGCCAGCATGGTGACAGAAGAGATAGGTTTTGCACCCTCCCCTGGCAGGTAAGGTGGGAGCAGAGCAAAAGAGAGGAGAGGAATCGTGCACTTTGTTGATTTCATAGGCCAGTAAGGGCATAAATATACCAAGCACATTCACCTACTAATTCCTGCTCAGATCTTTAATTTCTGGAAGAGCTTGAAGATAGATCTTAAAGGTCACAGAATCACACAGAATCACAGAATTTCTAAGCTGGAAGAGACCTCAAGATCATCGAGTCCAACCTCTGACCTAACACTAACAGTCCCCACTAAACCATATCATTCAGTTCTTTCTCTCTGCATCCACAAAACTCAGCCCCTCTTTCAAGCTGTGATGTGTAGCTGCAGACAAGCTAAAAAGAAACCTCATAGATACATTAGCAAAAAGCCACATTTTGGATTTGTTGCACTACTGAGTTCTGAAGGGATTGAATTCTGAAGAATTTGCCACGAAGCTAAGAGAGGTTAACCAGTGATTTGTCTACAGACCATGCAAATAGTCTAAACTGAAGCAGCAGAGTTCCTACAGAACCACAAGCTTTGGGCTTGGTCTCCAACATCCCAAAGAGTGCTTGAGCCACAGCAGACACAAACACAGATTTAATTTGTTTAACCACCTCTCCATATTATTTTTGCAGGGTTGCATCTAATCTAAGTGAACTGTGAGCATCTCCTGGCAGTCATGCCCAAGTGCTTACTCTGAGATGGTCACTTCGTGGCTATGGTATCAAGAACTTGTCGGCAACAGGGCGCTGATGGCACGTTATCTGGTTCTGCACACAGTCTGCAGCAGAAAACTTGGGCAGCGAGGGGATGTGGCCACCTCCTCCCAGGTAAAAGTTGAGTGTCAGTTTTGCAATTGATAATGCAACCCAGCAGCAGAGCTTCAGAGGCAGAGGGTCACCTGCATCTATTTGTGAACCTTTTTCCTTGCCCTTGGTGGCTCTGAAACTATGGCCTGAAAATGCGTGGCCCACAGCTGCTGGAAATTAAAGCAGAGAATGCCAGGTCTAGGTTGCCCTTCTGGCATATGTATTTATTTCCAAGTGTTGTGTGCAGTCCTCTGGAAGGCTAATGGCTCCCAACTGCAAAGACAGGCACATGGGACCTCTGGGATGGGAAGCAGAGAGGTGCTGCTTAGAGAGGCCCATCTGGGACTCATCATTAGGGTTAACATGACCATGCTGCCTCCTGGGTTCCAGCCTGCTCCTATCAGCGGTATCACACCATGCCATGTAGCTACCCCAACCCATTTGGTGTGTGCCACCAGCACTCTGCCCCGTGGGGACACAGCTGACAGCTGCCCATCAGATGCTCTTTGCTCCTACCAGGTCCTAGCACTTTCCCAAGAAGCATCTGAGAGCACACCAACAAGGAAAATCCTCTAGGTGGCATCCAGAATCCCAAAACCTAACTCAAACTTTCCCTGGAGCTGTGTGCAGCCTTGCCCTCAGCCATGGGGATGCTCAGCGGTGCTGGTTGTCACTGCAGCTAACAACAATCACACTGCTGCTCTGCTGCTTTTTCATCTGGTGCCAAGCCCCCAGCAGTTTAATCTAAGCTCATTCAAAGACAATCTATCAGCCTTAGAAAGGGATAGGCAGTGCTTTGAAAGAAACGTGCACTAGGAATTGTATTAGGAATTGTCCTTTTGTAATAAGTGAATATGGAAGAAAAAAGGTATTTATCAAACATTTGTGGCCTTCACTACTTTTTTTTAAATTTTAATAGAACATATGAATGAACCAGAAGAGAATCTGCCTTGCTCTGTTCCTGATTACAGGAACATGGAAAGAGCTGCTCCAGTGCAGGCTACGAACCCAGTGCCTTGTCTTTAAAGCTGTCTAATTCCAGGTGTTTCAAAAGAAGATAAAAAGCCTGCAGAGAGGATAATTATAGACTAACCTTTCCCTACGGAAAGTTTCCTCCTAATGCTCTTAATTATGTCATGAATCATAAATGCTTATAACTCTTCTAAACTTACATCATACGTATATACGGACTGTTGTCGTTTCCATTACTCATAGTCACATCCAGGGTGAAACGCTAGCTCGGCTGAAGTAAGCGCAAGTTTACTGCTGCAGAGCTGGGATGCCTTTTTGCAGAGCTCTTTCCATGTCTCATTTCCAAAGCTGCACTGTCACCGCTCCCACGCACTGGTCTGAGCTGCGGGGGTGCATTAAACACCTGTAAAACTAGACAGAAATACTTCTGAAGTGCAGAAACATTAGTGCTAGGGGCTTCTCTTTCTTAATCCATGGTTTCTAAGAACAAGCTGCAAGCCCCGACCTGCCAGCCTTACACCTACCTGTACGAGCACTCCTACTAGTGCCAAGACACAGGACAAACTGCTGAAAGATGGAGCTCTGCACTACCAGTGGCCATGCCCAATTTTCCCCAGATCTGGGCTAGCTTGAATGAGCTGGAAAGGAAATATAAACTTCCCCACTTGCTTCTTGAGTCAAACTTTTAGAGCATCAGTGGAATGGTGGGTTGTAGTTATGAATTTCCCATGTATGCACAATTTTAAATAAATAAATAAGAGACAACACTATCGGAATGGATGCTGTGCATTTTTTGCCTTTGTTCTTACAGTGAAAGCTTAGTCCCTACATGATTTGGACACCAAGCGAGTGTTGCTAGCCATAAATGCTGTTTTCCATCACAGGTGCTAGTGTCCCTCCTCTCACCCATTTTTCAAACCCATGCTGGAAAAGGGTAGCCCTTCCCTGGGGGTGCAGGGGCAGCCCCCTTGCTCCTCTTGTGGCCACAACAAGGTGCCTTCACTTGCCCAAAAACACCACCTACCCCATTTTGGGCCCCCCTCCGCCGGGTGGAGCTCGATATAGGCATGCCCATGGCCCTGCACCATGAGGCCCTGTGGCCGCCCACAGTCAGCCCTGGCCTGCCTGGCTGCAGGGTGCTGAGCTGACACGGGGTGCTGAGGGGCTGGGGGAGCAGGGGCTGCTCACCCGCACAGCACAGAGGGGTTCCTGGTATTCAGGGGGAACCTCCTGTCTGCCAGTTTGTGCCCATTGCCTCTCGTCCCCTGGCACTGGCACTGGTGAAATGAGCCTGGCTCTTTGCTCCCGGCCCTCGATGACCTGTGTCACCTGGTGCCCTTAGGACGGCGCATGCAGGCTGGAGCCCTTGTGCCAGCCCCCACAACCCCACCATGGTGGCCCCAGCTGCGAGGTGGTTTTGCTAACGCAGCATGGACAGGGCTGACTGGGCACGAGGGTGATGGGAGAGGCCAGTCTGTGGCACGCCTGTTTGCATATCATCACCATCAGCAGCATAATTTCCTGAGCTTTAGCAATACTTAGCATTTCTATAGAAGTAAAGTGTTTTCATGTTCATATTTCCCAGTTGCTCCCTGAAGACATGTGAGGCAGACTGAACAAGCCCTTTGAGGGAAGGTAGGCTTATATTCCTTACTCTGTTTTCCAGGTCCTCATACACATAATCCTGACCTGCTGCCACACATGGGGAATGGCTGTGCGGGGACTCTGCGGTGGGAAGGTGACCATTGGGTGCCAACAGATGGCTGAAACCACACATTTCAGCCCCCACACCCATGGGCTTTTTAAGAAAGCCTCATGTTTTAAGCAAATTTTTTTCTTGAGATTGTTCCTTTGTCAAATCACAAGCTATGAAACCGTATGTTTCAGTGGCAACATTTATTTTTATTGTAGTCTAGGTAGACTAATTTCCTTCTGAAGTAACAGAGCCATTTATGTTAGGGTTTTTTGTTTCACAGCAAATTGAACTCTTTGGAGACAATTCCTTTTTTTTTTTTTTTTTTCTTCTGGATTTCTAATTGGCAAGGGGAAGCTCAAATTAATAATATAGTTTGTGGTGTAACAGCATGTAATCACGTGCCTTATCTTAGGCACATGGATATATTTATGCCAAATGCTGTGAATCATCCTTTTAGCTGTTTCAAATCATGACCTGAGGTTTCATAAGATTATAGAGGCAATTCATATTTAAGCATCACCTCATCCTCAAGGTTCTGCTTTTGGTTTGCAGTGTTCTCCTTGCAGCAGAGATTGCTTTCCAAAGGATTATTCTCCAAGTTAGGCTTCCCATCCATTCTAAATTTCTGAGATCACTCTCCTTTGATGTCTCTCGGTCTCAACTTGATCCCCAGATACTGCCTTACAATTTATCAGTAGGAGGAGTAGACAGTGGAGTGACGTAAGGGCTTGCAGCAGAAAGGCGGCCATATGTATGTGCCTGTCTTTTCATTATGCACTGGTCGCATCCTCCTTCACCTTTGATCCATTGAGATCATCACTTTAAGATATGATGCTGACTTTAAAGTTCTAGATGGAAAAAAAAAAAACAAAAAAAACGGTTATGGATGGCTGGAGCACCAGCATAGTACATCTTTACAAAAAATATTTTTAATCATTTCTGGTTGTATAGAGTTTTGGAGCTTCCTGATTTGGTGCATGCCAGTAAGACTTAAATTTTAAAATAATACAGTTTTTGTGTTCCTGAACAATATGTGACATCTAGAACCAAAAACTGAGGACAAATGCAGGACAGTTGTAGGTTGGTGAGAAAGAATCATTAATGCAAGGCAAATGTGACAAATGTGAAGAGTGACATTTACATTATTATATCAGTTTTGGTCTCTGTGCAATGCTAAGAACTTGTATTTTCTGTAATTTGTAGCCTTTATGAAGTGTGAGTGAATCAAAAGACAAATTGCTGCATGAGGCCAGAATTCTCTAATAGCGTGTGCCTTGAAAAATGTTACAGAGTAAGTTCCTATCTTCAATTAATTTTATAAGTGGAAAGATAAGTGGAGAATGAAGAATCAGTGCTCCATTATCTGTTCACCTGTTCACGAGAGATTAATTTTCAGATAGGCTTAGGAATATGTACTATAACATAAAACCAGACATAAACACAGGAAAAATTAAGGACTGGACAATCACCCACACTCCATTTATCCTCTTACACTGCATTTAAAATACCATCACAGAAACTAGACCCTGTATGATTTTGAGGGCATAGGAAAACTCCAGATGTTTTTCTCCCCACTTTTTCCCCCAAAGCAAGTTTTTCGTTAGTTTTCATGTCTGCAATGCTCCTCACCTATTGAAACAATGCTACTTTTACTCTCTTAATCCTCTTAAGTAAAAACATAGCTGGGAGGCTCTGCCTTGGGAGGGAGGGGGAGAGAGCCCTCTCTGCAGGGAGAAAAAAGAGGATGGTGACTGTGGGTGCTGGTTGTGAAAAGAAGCAGTGGTGCGGCTGGCTTCAGCCTGGAAGGCAGTGACTCCCACACTGCAGTTCTTGGTGCTTAGAGCTGCACTGGTGGGACAACTGTGTGCTTTGGTTGGATTCAGGATTGCACGATGGAGGATGAGGAGGGCAGGGAGAGCAGGAGAAATACAGAACGTATGGACTTCCTGTAGCAAAGTGTGGTATTACTTAGCTGGTAGCTCTGTCCATTCTGCAACCCCACTCCTTCACCCTGCCAGTGTAGCACAGGCAGCTCAGGGGAGCAGTGGTGCCTGTGCCCGTTCCCCCGTTGATGGATGGGAGCTGGAGAAGCACTGGGGTGGTCCATCTGCACGAAGCTAGGGGCAATACACTACCGTGCTACTGACCATCCAGGGCAGGTTTGCTAGGCACTGGCAGAATGTGGTAAAGTGGAATCTACCTGGAACATGTCAACCCAAACTGATGTCTCCATTCCTCCCTTATATCTCTGCTGAAGCCCTCCCATGTGTTACTGCAGGTTGGCAGAGCTAGAGAGGAGAGAGTTCATGCACCAGCAGCAAAGGGAAAGAACGAGAGCTGCTGACCACAAGACAGGATGTGCTCTCTGCAGCAGGACAGATGAGAACCAGGCAAATGAAGGTAAAGGTGCATGAGAATTTGCTGTTCACTTCTGGCTGTGACCTCAGGGCTTCCTTGTCACGGGAGTGTGCGAGAGGGATGTGTGGAGATGCTCTGTGCCATGCCAGAATCAAATTTTTGGTACTCAGTCTTAGGGCAGAAAAATTCAGTCATCCTGGGCATTGGGTCAGTTTTTTCTCACATGACAAGCAGCAAGACTGCAAAATAAAGCTGTGCAAATTGGTAGTGTACTTTTAAAGAGGAGCTCTTGAACTATGTTTTGTAATTTCTTCTGCCTTCCTTCACTCCCACTCAGCCTTTCATAAAAGGCTCTTTTTTTTTTTTGACTGTATTTTCAGTGTTGTAATCCAGAATTCAACGCTTTGCTAAGGGTGAAAGCCAGTGTGTTGTGTTCTCAGTGAGTTCTGGAGAGCCTCGCAGACCCAGCAGGTATAGAGAAAATGAATTTATATAAGCTGGTTCTGTAAACAAAGCTTTTGGTTTGTCAAAACATTATGGAGATCCAAAGAGTCAGTGTGTTTCTCACTAAGCTGCAAGGGTCAATTTTGGGCCAGTAGCATCAAGTGGTAGAAGGAGAGAAATTTTGCCAATGCTTGTCCTGCAGCCAGAGGCAGTGCACAGCTTCTGTTTATTTCCTGTCCGACAGTCAAATTTGACAGTGCATTTTCAGCCTTTTTTTCACTCTCCCAGAGCTGATAGAAGCCTTAGGGAGGTGGGAAGGCAAAAGGGTTTTCATTTGAATACTGCCACCAGGGCTCCCTAAGTGTCAGAAGTGATGAATGTGCTTGTTAAGGATTTGTTGAGGATTTGCCCACTCTCCTGCCTAGTGAGCTGAGAGATGCACATGATCTGTGCCTAGGCTAAAACTATGCATGCATTGAATGACCAGCTGGACGTTGCCAGATTAGAGTACGTGACTGAGTTCTGTTTGCCTTCTGCACTGGCATTTTGATTTGGGCGCCTTTCCTTTATTCAGCTGCCAGTTTTCACAAAACTTGTGAAAACATAGTTTTCTTTGATATTTCTTCTCTTCTACCAAATGCACCAACAGATTCCAAAGCTGTTAGGGGAGGTTTGACAGCAGGGTGGATGAATATAAAACTCATCTTCTTTGGAAAAATGGAAAAAAATGGCAGCTTATTAAGGATGTGAAAAATGCATTATGTTACGGATCTTACCTGCTTGCCATGCCTCCTTTTTCTGCTTCATCCTGTATATATTCTGAGTGTGAGCATGAACTTATGCAAAATAGGATGCAACTTAGAGCATCTCAGTGTCTCTAATGTGTATCTGGGAGGCCTGTGAGATCTGAGGAGCACAAAGATGACTGAGGTCTCCCTAATGAGAACAAAAGTGGTCATGGTTATCCTACATCCTCTCATGAACTGGGATATGAACTTCTAGCGTATCACTTGTTCGTTGTCACCTCTACTCCATAAGCATTAGCTTGCTCCCTGGTACGGCTTTATTGGGGTGCAGATTGGACTCTTAGAGGTGGTGCCCTGATGTGGTTTGGGGGACTATGTGCCAAAGGCTTTTTTCCCATCAACAGTATGAATGGGAAAGCATGAATTTTGGTGCTCTCCATGCAACAGTTCTGCAGCCCTACCTCAGCAGGCTTTTAACCCTCAAACACCTGTACATGCTCTCATGCCATTCTCCAGGATATGCACCTCTTGCCACTTTGAACTGAAAAAATAAGATAAATTAGCTCTTAAGTGCATCATACAGGGCTGAGTGGATACCTTGGGCCAAAGGCTAACTTATGTGGATGTGGGCAGGATGTGTCAGAGAATGGTCCCTGTCCCTACTTCACTTAGCAGTGTAGATATTGTCTGTGTTTCTCCACCTCTGTTTTGTTAGCTGTCTTCAGTCTTCCTTCAGACAAAATGAGACTGTTCTACTACGATTATGTATTTGTAAGACCAAAGCATGCATCAGTGAACAGTTATCTGTAGCAGTACAAAAAAGCCTATCTGAACATTAATCAGATCTTTTTTCATTAACCTGAACAGCTAAATAATTTTTCAGTTAAATAATAATTAAGGGGATGCATATGGAAATTCTTTAAATGAGGATTTAATCCCTCAGTGATAAGGGTATGTGGTACACATGCTGCCAGTGCCCTGTGGGAAGAAGTTGACTCATCATGAGAAAGGTGTGATGGGTTGCAGGTTGCCTCTGGATAGGCATTTATTCAGGTAAGACTCCGTGGTAGGCCTATGTGAGCCTTGTGTTCACCATGTGGGATGGAGTGAAATGTGCAGTACCAACATAGGAGATGATCTAAACCTGAGCAACATGGTAGTGCAGAGATTGTACTGCACTCTGTAGGTCATCATGGCTTGGATTAGGCCTTTGAGTGATCTGGGAATGAAAATGAATTCCCCAAAGGCGATATGAATGGGATGGACCAGTACAAAAGGGATTGGAGGGGTAGAAGTACTTGGTGAAGAAGTGACTTGCCATTTTATTCAAGCTAGGGACTGCAAAGGACAGAAGAAATCCAACACCAGGGACCAACCTTTATGATGCAATGGTCTGGCTGGCACCTCTAGCTGGGGGCTGCTGTAGCCAGTATGTGTGGTCATCTGGAGTCAGGCCTGATGGTGAGGGAGGAAGCTCACAGTGCAGAGCTCTGTTTTAGTTTCTAGTTTTTGATTTATTTATTTTTCCTAGAGAAGGAACTTGCTTTGGTCAGTCAGAAAATCAAAGGCTTCTGTAACCTCCCTTACACCAAAGCTGCTCCAGGTCTGTCAAGTCTTTGAAAAGCCACAATTTTTGGAGAGGCGTCTGACTCTTGACCCTAGGTCTCCCATTGGGGCCAGCACCAGCGTCACTGGGAGAGGGTTTGGGCTAGCTCTGCTCAGTTTTGAAAAATTCCACCTTCAGTTTTGAACCTTTTCCAGCAGTTCTGCTCACGCCCAGGACTGGGGGGCCTGCTTTCAGTCATTAAGCTGCGTCTGCAGCAATGTTGGCTGCAGTAAAATCTCAACATCCTTGAAGTCTGTGCGCTTCAGAACACCAGCAGGTGAAAGAGTGAAGCTTTCCTCTGTGTATAATACTATGGAATTCAGTGCATGGTGGGTGTTTTGTGCCTTCCCCTGGAGCATCTGGCGCTGATCACTGTCTGAGGCAGAAGCTGAGCTAGATGAAGCATCGGTCTGCCCCAGTGTTGCAATGCCTATGTTCCTGCCTCCCTGGTGGGCTAATGTCCTGTGATATCCTTCCAGCTGGTAACATGCCCAGGACAGAGTTTTAGCACCATCCGCCACTTGAGCTGTTTGCAGCCTCAGTGTAGCATTACCAAAAATAAAGCTGTTTGAATGAAACAAGTGTTTGGAAATGAGCTGTCTCTCTCCCGCTCCTTTTCTCTCTCCCTCCAAGGGTGGCAAAGCATGCAGGAGCAGAGGGAGCGCAGGGTGGGGAGAGGGGAGAGGAACTTGATGAAGCCTGACCAGGGCACAAGCACTCTCTCTTCTCCCTCCTCCTTGCTGGGGAAATGGGAACAAACATTTACAGCACACATAAGATTGTTTACCACAAAACACCCTAGTGGCTTCAACTGCAAATGAGCTCCAAGGATCAGTTTCCCTTGGTATAAATGCAGCTGTTCCCATCCCTTAACCCATTGCCTGACATGTTGAAAGGGAAGAAGAGAGTAAAGAGCCAAACACAACATTAATCAGATTTGAACCTTTCTTGGGACTCCTTTATTTTTCCTTCAGTTTCCCCGTTTCAGTTACTTACCTCATTTCTCCTGAACACCAGGAATGATAGCCCAGACAATGGCCTGTAACATCATTCATGGGGCAGATTTTCTAGTCTCCAGCACAAATGTTTAGTTCTGGTTAGTCCCCAGCCGAAGCAGTTAGCCAGTTGGCTGGACATCTCTTGTGCTTTCATCAGGGGCTGAAGTGAGCCCATGCTGTCAAGGGAGACGGCAGATTTTTTATCCTGTTTTCACATTATGTGCTCTGAAACAGCTCAGCTGGGACAAGTTAAGTCTTGGGGGCATGTGCGTTGCCACAGAAGTGTCAAGGAAGATTAAAAACAGGCACATAAGTTTGACTGCTAGACTAACCCCAAGAAAATGTTAGGAGGGGAGCTTTTTGTCTCAGTACTAGGTAGAGGGAGGTTAGAAACTGTGTGTGAAGACACTCTTGGCTGCCTTTTTATTCCTACAGCCTGTCTGGAGGCTGCAGTCTGGGTTTACATGCTTTGTAGTAAAAGAGAGAAACACGAGCCAATTTCCTTACATAAAAAATAAAAATCATTCAGCCAGCTCTTCAGGCAAGAAAGGGTCACAGCATTAGTGGTGGTACCAGTCTGTTAGCACAGGTCCACAGGTCCGCAGTGGAAATACTATACAGATGGTTGTAGCAGTGCTGTTCCTCAGCTCTGTTCTGACTGAGGAGGAAAGCTGGATACAAATGATATCAGCATCATTTGGTTAAAAGACTATGAGTGGGAGAGGGAAGTTAGGGGAGGTTAGAAGAGCCTGATAGCATTTCAAGTGTATTAAAGCAGGGACAAAGGAGGGCTGTTTTACATGGCACATTGTAAGTAACAAGGAGCCAAAGACTGGGATATAGGATATACAAAAGGAAAGTTTAGTCTCAGTTTCAGGAAAGACGTTTTGTCAGCTGTTATATTGTTGACTAGTTTCCCAGGGGAAATAATGAGGACAGGATTTTAAAATCCAAATGGGGCAAAGAATGAGAAAACTCACAAACATAACTGGTCCCAAGCTGGTCCCCAAGTGAACAACAAGGTCCCTTCCCTTCTTTTCTGCTCTCTGTGGTTCTTGCTCCACAGTTAATTCCTCTACATTAACCCTTGCTTATATTAGTTGCCACAGCATATGAGGTGTAATAACATGAAGTGTCCTCTCCCACTTGTTCCACTTTTCCTCCATTCCATACTCCCCCATCTTCCTACATTTGCTGTTTCTTACCCTCTCCCACACCACTGCCCACAGAGGCCAAGCCGGGTGTCCTCTTGTTTCTGGCTCCATCTTTCACCCAATTCTTTGTGAGTTTCTTGCTGTGGAGGGCTATGGCATGCTGTGGTCCCATGCTAGCAGCTCACCAGCCCGGAGACAGGGTTTTTCACCCCTTCAGCCCCATGCACCTTGCAAAGGGTGGGGAAGACTGCTGTCCACATTTTGCTTATATGGGGAAGCTGAGAGGCAGCCAAGAGAAAAGGTTTACTTGAACTGGCACGCTGGAGCAAGGAGCGGGCTGACTCAGTTCTTTGGTATCCTATCCCAAATCCTTTCCCCTGGCCTGTGGCTGCTGCACGCCTGCGGGTGCCGTCTGACCTCCCCATCAGGAAAGGCAGGCAGGCTGCGCAGCCGCACTGCGGGAGCACTCCTGGCACATCAGGCAGCACAGAGGGAAAAACGTGATACAGAGGCAGACTGGGCTCAGGACCTAGGTGTGATGCTGGGAACTTCCCACTTCCCTCTGGATTAAGCATTTAAACTGTTGTTGCTGTCGCTTTCAACAAATAAGCAAGGCAGACATAGCATTATTTACCAAGTAAGGAAGTCTCCATAAAACATTCCCCAGATTTGAAGTAATCATGTTTTTCAATGGAATATAAAAAAAATTGGCACACGGTACCTTCTCTTAAGTCCAGGCAAGACGCACGCATTTATTTCCAGTAGCAGCACACGGCGTACTGACTGTAACTAGGTGAGAATGCTAAACAGACCCGGTTTCCCTGCTGGCGTCTGAAAACAGGGATAAATTCCTCAGCAGACAAAAGACAGATGGTGCGGGCATTGCTAAAATCCTGGCTTCCTGGAGTCAGAAAGCTATGCAAATCCAAAGGTTCAGAGTGCACAAGATCGTTAATTATTATCTCTATTGAGATGCTGTCATTCTTTGCCAGTGGCGCTGAGGTCTGGCAGGAAGCTGAGCCCTACAGGCAGGCACAGCATTTCGGTGATGGCCTTAATTTTGCCTTGGCTGGATGCATAATGCACTATTTATCATGCAGAGTAAGGGAAGTCAGGCTGTTGTTGTTCCAGAGGTAGACAAAAGGCCAGAGAAGGGGGTGCAGTTCTGGACAGGATGTACTTGAGTAATTTGTGGGGGCAATGGGAGAATGTCTGAATTCAACACTGTCGTGGGTTTGATGTTTTTAGCATTTTTTAGCATTTTTAGCATTGCATGATGCACTGCTGTGTGAGCACCACATCCCCGCTGCCATACATCACCATGAAGCTGCTTCAGTACTGACCATTTGGGTCAGGACAGCCGCACACACAAGCATTTCGTCGTGGGCTGAGAGCTAGTCTTGTTCATCCCATGGCTGCTGCTCCACCGCTGTGTGCTGTGGTTTCTTCCCTGGCCTGTAGTGGGAATCCCTACCAGAAACAAAGGGACTCTGGAAGCTGCAGGACAGGTGAGGGGGCACCCGCAGGTTCTCGTGGGTGTCATGCACATCAGTGCTGCACTGTCAGAGCACAGATGAAGCAGCATACAGGGAACCCAGTGATGAATATGAACAGGTTGTTAAAAAGCTCAAGCGTTTAACTGAGACAGTGGGTGGAGTGGAAGGCTGACTGGTGGCCAGGCTGGGGAAGAAGGCAGACTGGAGGAGGACTGGTGAAAGAAGGAGCACAGAGGGAGAGTGGGAGTAGAGAGAGAGGAAATCTGGTTGTCTTGCTGGGAAATAGGGAGATGAGAGGAGTAAATTAGCTACCTGTGAAGAAAAGGGCTGGAACAGAGAACCAGAAATAAGGAAGAGAGAAAGCATGACAGTGCAGGAAGGGGCTCAGCTGTAATGGGTTGGAAGAACTATCTGTCCAAAGAGCACAGCCCCCTCAATACCTGGAAAGGAACCAGAGTTTCTGATTCTCCCCTGCTGTCAAGAAGTCTCTGTGAAAGCTGAGAGCAGCGCATCCTGTCTAGCAGTAGGACAGGGATATCTTTTTCAACTACCTGAGGCTTAGCTTAGGTGACAGAAGTGTCCTGGGCATCAGTGTTGCTGATGAGCCAGTATGACCTGGTTTCGCCCAGCCTTTCCCTGCTTGCTGTCTTAGACTGTCACTCACCTCTTAACAATGCCAGACATAGTGTTTACTTAATTTGGGGTTTTATGTTGCTTTTTGACACTTTTGTCAAGTTGGATCCACTCAACACTGGGTCCAAAACTGTTGAACATCTTCATTAATGATCAGGATGAAGGGGCACAGCGTGCCTTCAGCTGGTTTGCAAATGACACAGAACTGGGAGGAGGGCTGATACACCATGCCATCCAGAGAGACCTCAAAAGGCTGAAGAAATGGGCTGACAGAAACCTCATGATGTTCAAAGAGGGGAAGTCCAAAGTTTTGGGGAGGAACAACTACAGGCACAACTATTTGCTGGGGGCCACTCAGCTAAAAAAGCACCTCATCTGGAAAGCAACTTGGGGTCCTGATTAACATGACACAGCTGAACGTGACCCAGCGACGTGCCTTTGCAGTGATGAGAGCAAACAGCATCCTGGGCTGCATTGCCTAATGATCCTTCCCCTCTACTCAGCACTTCTGAGGCCACTGATGTGTCCGGTTGTGGGCTTCCCCCAGTACGAGAGACATGGACATATTGCAGAGAGTGAAGGTCCATGAAGTTGATGAAGGGAATAAAGAGTTTCTCCCATAACAAAAAGCTGAGTGAGCTGGGACTGTTCAGTCTGGAGAAGAGGAGGCTTGGGGGGAGGAGATACCTTATCAAAGTGCACAAATACCTGAGGAGAGGGTGCAAAGAGGACAAAGCCAGGCTGTTTTCAGGGGTGCCCAGTGCCAGGACAAGAGACAACAGCACAAGCTCAAACACAGGAGGGTCCTTCTGAACATCAGGAGGCACTTCTGTGCTGTGTGAGTGATGGAGCACTGGCACAGGTTGCCCAGAGAGGTTGTGGAGCCTCCTCCTTCCAGATCTTCAGAAACCATCTGGACATGGTCCTGGGCAGGTGGCTATAAGTGGCCCTGCTGGAGCAGAGTGGATGGCTGGATGACCTCTAGAGGTCCCTTCCAACCCCAACCCTTCTGTGATTCTGTGGTTCCTGGGGCTCCTCTCCCCTTATACGCTCCCTACCTACACTTCAGCTCTGTGGCCTCTCTCCACAGCATGACCTGTTATACCAGCTGGTCCTCTCCTGCCTCCTTTCCCATAGTTTGGCATGGCATACGAAAGTACTTGAGAGGCCCTGAATATTGAGGAAGACTCTTGAGAGTGCAGATAGTTAAGCACCAGCAAGTGCCAGTGAATGTTTCCAGTTGTTTCTTTGTGTGGTCAGCAGTGGTTCTGGAAAGACATGTTTTATATCTCTGCTGACTGATAAAACAGCATCCAATCCCGTTAAGCAGTGTATCTGGAAAAACGTTAATCAAACCAGCCAGACAGCCAGTTTCAGTGACTAACAAGGGCTTCCCAAAAGGTTAGTAAGTACACATTTTTATCATCATAAGCATGACATATATATTTCTTTGATCCTCCCAGGAATTGTATTGTGGTTTCTCCATTAATTAATTTGAAATGAGCCTTTCTCTCATTTCTTACTATTTTTTCCTACTCCTGATGATTTTTTTGTACAGAGCAGCAAAATACTGAAAGTTTATATGTGGCTCCCCAAGTTTATACAGATTACAGGATGGGGAAAGAAGTGGAAGAAGAAAATACATTTTTTCACCAATTCTGCTAATGCTGGAGGGTTCTTTCCAGTCAAAACAAGGTAAAGTCAGAGTTACTTATCTTGGTGATCTTAAACATGTTGTGCTTCAGTAGCCTGCAGGCAAGAGACCTCACCCACTCAGTGCTGTTCTGAACCTAGGCTTTAGCCTGCTGACATTCTTGGAGCCTGATGACTGCTGCTCCATTCAAGCCTTTACAGCATCAAAACATTGGCTCATTTGCCACCTGCTCCCTCCCACCCTATAAAGGAGGATTGTGGGTTACTGCTATGCACCGGTTTTGTGCAATGTGACTGCTGCATCACATGTCATAATTGTTTCCTTAGTTCTTACCCTTGGTGTCCTGAAAGGTTTTCATTAGTCATCTAGGGAAAAAAAAAAAAAAGGCAAACCTCAACCCTCTGTATTCACGTTCTCATGGTGAATTTTCCAGCCTGGATTTTTTTTAAGATGCAGGCTTTGGATCCATCCTTGAATTTTTGCAGTCATGAACAACCAGGTCAGGAAACCGTGATTTGTGAAAAACGGGTCATTTGGGTTTCCAGGTTTGTGGCTCACTTCATTTCCTGGCAGACTGTGTAGCACTCATTGTTGACTCTGCAGTATGAGCTATGGCTTCTCCTCACTTCTGGAAATTTGGGTCACTTAATTTTAGGGGATCAAGAAACAGATTCCTGATTTCTAGCCCTCTAACTTTAAAAAAAATCTCTCTTTGTTTCTTAGGTGGGGCACCTGATACCGAACTGTCCCTACTATTTGTAGCAAAATCATAACAGTAGGTTAAAAAAGCTAGAGGTCCCCTTGAAATTCTTCGGAAAATCCAGTGTGTCTAAACTGAATTGTTCTTATCTCTCTCAAAGGGCTCCTCCACCAGTCTTTTGCATGAGTCTGTGGAATACTAATCTTCATGCTATTCTGCATTTACTTGTATGAACCCCCAAGAGCTATCCTAAGAGCTGGCGCTTGACATGATGTTGTTAGCCAAAGACCTCCTGTTAGAAGACATCTTGTTAGCAAAACTCTTCCTGTCGGTTTCCAGTTTTCCTCTCTGGCCTTCAGTGACCATTTTGCTGGAGAAGCGGATGTGCAGGGAGATGCAGACCCCCAGCCCTGGGGTTGTTCCTAAATTCTGCCCAGATCCTTGTTCATCTCCCCTGAGGGCTGATTCTAGGCTTTTACAGGTAGCTGGTCACTAGAAATGCCAAGTGCAGCGCATAAGGGAAAGTTGGGTTGTGTGAATCAGGGCCACGAAGGCCCCTGGCTCAGTCGAATATGGGCGTCCAACTCACTTAGGCTCCTTTTGGTAATCCCAGCCATGGAGCTTGAAGCAGCTGGAGAGACTTACCCATATAAGGTGCTGTTTGCACTTGCTTTGATATTAGTCTATTCTGGTTATTGTTATTATTAGTGTTGTGGCTGTCCCACAAGGTGAATAGCTCATGTCTGAGTCCTAGCAGTTGGCTGGCATGGTTTTGGAGGTGGCCTGCTTTCCCATGGGGACTTCCAAAGAAGTACTGGTGAGTTGACACCATGGTTCATGAAAGCACAGGTCTGAGATCAGGCAAATAAAGCACATTCACAGCATCCTTCCTTCCTTAGTTAATTTTTATTTGGGTGTCACAACAAAGAAATTCAGCTCTGCAGCCAGAACTAAAGGCTATATATATTTACTATATATATTTTAACCATAGGTACTCCATGTCTCATTTTCTTCTTGGTACTTGAATGCTGCTCTTCAGCCCAATGCTATAAATGGGGTTATGACCCCCTGTTTGTATGGGATCTTCCCTGACTTGGTCCTGACTTCACAAACACCCTTCTCAAAGCTGCTGAAGTTTCAAAATAAACAGCAAAAAGAGGAAATTAATTTCTACGTGCCCAGATTTGCCATTGGGCTTTGGTTATCTTGGAACAGGTTATCCACACTGCTGGTTAACACTGCTGCAGATTTCCCGGTTTGCCTCAACACTGCTGGTACTGTTCACTCCTCCCTATATCCTTCCTTGTTTTCTCCTGGCTCATGCCCTCCCAGTCCCCTTGGCAGTCATAAGGTTGGAACCAGGTGGTACCAGGGATGGGCTGGGGATGCAGCAGGCAGGGCACTGAGACCTGGTGTTGCTCTCTCAGCCAGTCCAAGGGGGAGCCATGGATTGGGGGAGCCA